GCTCATTTTACATGAGTCTGCTGGACCCGTAAACAGGGGCTATAGGGAATACTGTATCCAATTCATTTTCCAAATGCAATGACTGATAAATAGTAGAGTCATGAATAATAGATGTGGAGGAACAAAGGTGATACTCTGTGTCTGTAATGGTAAATAAACTCATTAACCTGGTAAGCCAAATGATCGTAATTGATTTATGTATCAACTCTCCTCTTTGGGGACATAAAAGCTGAGGGCAAGGTAGACTGAAACTTTACAACTGAATGTAAAATGTAATGTAAAGGAAATATCTCAACTATCATGAAAGTCAGAGATCATAATCTGCCTTCCTGGAACTGCGTCTTGCTTTTAGAACTTGGGTCGTGGACACTAGTCACCATCTAATTTTGAATTTGATCTTTTATATATCGCTTCATTTTGCATTTATATGTTACAGATTCCATCGGTGCTCACCTCACACTTCAAGAGAGTAAAAACTAGACAATTTGATGAACAGTGTTGACTACCATCCACTAGAATTTTTAAGGTTTGCTTTGATTGTGGGTTAGGGTTAGGGGTTTTGTGGTTGGGGTTAGGGTAGGCCAGCAGCAATGTCTGACAGTGATCCATTTAAAGCCAAAAGTCTTAATGCTACAGATGTCACAGTCTAAATCGTGAATTTGCAGCTAAACAGGTGTTAATAGTATTAGTGGTCTTGCCATCAGCTCTTAGAAATGTGACCAATAATGCTAATAATGCATTTCCCTGCTATTTCTTTACTTTTACTACTTTAACACCTTTTCACCTGGCTGACAGTTGGTATGTAGTATTACTACTCCCTAAATTACATTTGTTTGTGATTCACAGTTCCAGTTAGCTTGTTAGAGTTGAGAGAATGGTGACTTGCTGATCACTGCGTAGAGGCGAACAGTGCAAGAACTTAATCTAAGTGATTCAAAAAAGGGATAGCTGCAACAACACTTGGTGCAGGGTGTAGTATTTCCTTTGTTGCTCTTTGTGGAGTTCAGCAACAAGTGAGTTTCCAAATTTACTTACTTGTATTGCCAAAAAAATAATCTATGCCTCAAATACACTTATACACACAGCAAAACATTCATTCATGGATTTGACGTGTTAAACTGATTCGTCCATCCTTGTATGGGGATTGTATTTCTGCAAAGATATGGGTAAACCATCCCATACCAACCATATCACCAGACAAGAATGAAGCAAAGCTTGTGGGCTAAGAGGCAGTCACATCCGGCCCAACACTATACCTAACGCACTCTTTCAATCATGGTGGTTTACTTAAACCATTAGCTTCAGTTCATTTAGATTATTAAATAGATGTAGACAGAAACTTAACCAACCAACCAATCAAAACACAAATGACAAACTATGATTATGACAATATAGCATTTTAAAGGTCCCACCTCCAGCCCACCATCTACCTATGGGCTCTCAGTTCCCTCATTGTGCGAGTTATTATCATTAATCCCCAATCCCAATCCTTTCTGTGCCGATGTGCTGTTAGTGTTTCTTGCAGGGAGTGACAAGATTTTGACTTGGACTTGTGAACATATCTGGTAGATATTAACATTAAAACTGTAATTTTTCCTTAAACTTTAAGCTTTCACCCCATGAGCTTCTAGAACTGCAGCCAGCGTAACAGCCACACAGGCCAGTTATCTGATTATAGTCAAGTGGCCCTTCCTCTGCCAGCTCCTCTAAAGGACCTGGCAGGAAGTAACATGTCATCACACACTCGGTGACTTCTTGGAGAGCTCCTGAAGTTTGTTGTTTTTAATTCGAGCCAGAGTAGGTTGCTTGGATTGAATTCCTCCTCCTAGATCTACAGGCTCTCCAAAGCTCCAGGCACGCTGCTGTAAGAATGCCTACACCAGCCCACTGCTACAAAAGTTCCAGTACGTTCATTTTCTCACTTCTGAGGACTTTGTTCAGACTCTGGAGCAAGGGTGGAGGATACTTGGACGACTAAACATGATTTAAGTGCAACTGGCAGTCGTCGAAAAACCTGATGCTTAGGACCAGCTGTCCAACAACAATACAGAGACTCTTTCCACTGTGTAGGGCCCCAGTCTATCCACATTACTCAAGTGGTACAAAGGCAGCCTTGTACTAGCCATTAGGCAACATTGGCTATGGTACTGGTAAATGCGCTATTAGGCTTGGGGTGCTTAACATGATAGTAAAGATCTTTGGTTGGGCTGGGTAATGAACAGAAATACTTTTTTTGGACAGGTTAAAATGAGTCTGTAGCACTTAATATGGAAAACTGTCACGGAAAGCTTGCATTTAATGCCTGTAAAGAATGGTCTTGTTCATTAGATACATTAGTAATTAGATACTTATCGATTTCAATCATAAGTTTGCCAATCTCCCAAAACAGTATTTTATTTAAACAAAGTTCTTGGACGTGTGCTTTTGTTTAGGCACCATTTAACATTTGAGTTTGATGTTTGCAAAATTAAAAAAACAAATAAAAAGTTTAACAATATAATCTTATTTCAAGGTCCTTATTCCAAGCTTTTCCCCGGATCTTCTTTGTCTGGTTTCTTTTGGTATCGGAACTGAAACTGAAACACTGTGATCACCTTGTACTATATTGCAAAGTACACAAAGCCTTTCTATACTTCCGACCACTCCAAGCGCTTTGGACTACATGCCACATTCACGCACATTCATACACAGATGGCAGAGGCTCATCAGAACAGAAACTAATAAATTCACACACTGATGGCACAGCATCGGGATTTGGGACAATTTGGGGTTCAGTATCTTGCTCAGCATACTTCGACATGCAGCAGGAGGAGCCAGGGATTGAACCGCCAACCTTCTAATTAGCTACTGAGCAACAGCCGCCCTATAAAGACAATGTGACAAAAGTGACGTGGGTGATTGCTCTCTCTCTGCTATGTGGGATTTACCGACTGGTAACTGAAGTCTTTTATGCTCTCCTTAAAGCCCACAAAGTGGAGTTGCTGGTCTACCACTGCCTCAATTAGTTTGTTTGTGTGACTTTTATCGTATTAATACATCTTAATGGCCTGGAGCCCTGGGACGGGCAGCTGAGATGAACCCAGTGAATGTGACCTCTCTATCTGCGAGCCGTTCAGTGCTGCAGTGGGATCTCAAAGGCCCTTGGGAGCTCTGCAAGCTGCTGCGTTTTTTCCCCCTGTCCTGCTTGGTCCAGGGTTATTTTTTATTTTATTGTGTTTGTGTAACTTTGATGAACATATTCGCAGGTGAGTTTTTTGCATTTTTTATGTAATTTATTCGTCCCGCCCCTTTGGTGTTTGAATTTGTACATTTTGTGGACAAAATAACTGAAACACCTTTTTTGAGGGTTGCAACCTTCATTCAATCGTCATTCAACCTTCCCCCTTTAACTGTACCAACCTTTATCAACATTATATCAATCAAGGCAACTGAAGCAGATTTCAAGTTCAACTACTCCCAAGGTGCATAGAGATGCGAAGTACCTGTTAATAGGGTCAGAAGGACGAAGTGTCAGGATAATCTTCTGAAGGCCACAAGCCAAAACATACCTTGGTCTCACAGTAAAGATGTTTCTTTATACATGTTCTAAATGTCCGGACATGCTAATCATGTCAGATTTAAATATGTCTCCATGTTTTACATGACTTTAATAAAGCCACTTCAGTTTTATGCCATTGATATAACATACTGTATGCTTGAATAGAATTTCATACACCCTAAGAATCCTGCACATATTAAAACCCAGAGAAATATATACATGGTCCCTGGCTGTGACTTCTAATACCAGTCTTTTTCAGGGAATCCCACCATATTCATTTCCACCCCCCCGAGGCATGCCAAGGCAACTTAATTTAAAATGTTTAATACAATGCCCCAGCTCGAGAGCCAATAACTCTGGTATGCATTTATACAGTAGTAGCCTATATATTTGCTGCTATGTACTTCATTAACCCGTTAAAGGTTGGGAATATGCTGAGCAGTGGGAACATTTAAACAAACTTCCTGTCGAGTGGAAATTGCATCTTCACATTTCCAATATTGGAAAGTTGTTATTTGTGCTGCTGGAGTTTCCACATCTATCAGGCAGGCAAAGTTGAAAAGAGATGGAATGAAGACATATGCATCTGTTTATCTGCTTTTCACATGAAGTTTCATTCAAAACAAAATGTTGAGAAGTGAACATCAAGTATTTATATTTTTATTGGTTGGTTTGTTTATTTAGCAATATTCCAGTAAGTAATAAATACGTATCTCTTTGTCAGCATTTTTACATCAAATCCTTTGTGACAGACTGAATGAATGATCAATGCCGAACCATCAGGTGAAATGTGATTAAAACTAATTTCCAAGCACACATTCTCTACTTGGCTCTTCCCATTACACACAGTGTTTTTTGGATTTAAATAACTCACAACACAGAAAAACATCTCATGAAAGGACCACTATTGGCCAAAACACTGTTATGGATTTAATCATGGTGTTAAATTTGATGAAAACCTGCGAGATGCGTGAATGGTGTAGATCCATCTGCTAGTGGGTGGGTTGCTGTAGCCAGATGGCATTTTAATAGCCCAGCCTTGATAAATAAATGCTGGAGGCAATGAGAGAGGAGCAGGCCAAAGCTGAGATGGCTCCTGAAGGCCTGTGGCCAAGACAGGTGAGAGCCCCAAGTCCCAGCAGACAGATATCTTTGTTATGTACCTCCTATAGAGCCTGACTGGGAGGAAGGCTGGTGATTTGTTTTGTATACATGTATGAAACTGGCAGAGAGATATTAGGCCTTAGCTGAGGGTGTACTCTCTAAAATGACCTAGAAAGTTCATGGGATGGACTATTTGTACAAGGTCAGAAGGTGGGTGGGAAAAGGGGTGTAAGGGTATTTCAGATTTCCACTGTGTTAAGCACTGAGGATTAACTTGGAGAACATGAGGCTTAGAGGTGGAACCAGAGTTAAAGAAGACATGTATGTGAATTGGACACAGGAGGGGTCTGATACCTACATTGTTCGGGTGTAAGGTGGGGTAGGGCCTGCCCTCGTACCAGCCGGCATGTAGAGCCGTCGCCACCACAGACGCCGCAGTTATCCTCCCTGGCAGCGCTGGCCAGCTGGCGATCACAGCCCACCTCCTGCACACATAAAGACAGAGATATGGGGCTGACCGATGTATAAAGAGATGGAAAGACAATACAGAGCGCTCAAAGGAAGGCTGGATCACTGTTACACTGATACTAGTCTTGCAATACCAGACACATTCAGTGCCTATCAATCATCTGGGGATTTCTAAATGCAAAGTAGTTGCTTGAACGGCGACAGGAACACCCGCTAAGAAACTTACGCCGCTTATTTCAAGGACATGCCTCATCTGAAACCATGCTCTCCTACCATTCTCCTCCACAGTAAAACAAACTAGAGATACTATTGAGTCACACAGAGAGAGTTTTTTAAAACATTGCAAAAAGGAAATTACACACAATTGCTTAAAGGAAGATGAAAGTCTGGACTTTCATTCATATAATCAGTTGTTCTTTACAATGAGCATTACAGCCTCACAGACCTGCTAGCAAGGCTCGAGACTCTTGTAGTCTCTGGAATCTTTTTTAAGATCAACAGCCAGACCTACACTCTTAGATGTCACTGTATATTTAGAAGCACAATACTCTATATACCTACTGTAAAATACCTTAGTTTATATTGCATTGTGGCTAATTTTTATCAAGTGGGAATATTTTACAATATATTGTAGTATAGTAATATTACATTATGAGCAACCGCAGACTATATGAAATATAATTAATAATAATATATAATAATATAAATAAATATATAATATATCAATATTAATATAACTGGATATATTACAGTACAAGGTAATAACATACAGAAGAAATACAACAAATTATAAAATACAGTGCAAATACAGTAAAGTTGTAGTAATACAGTATTGTTCTATACTATTAACTGCATCACAGCTCAGTTACAGTAGTTTATTGTAAATTGAAATACAGCAACTTGCTGGCAACTGTGCTGCCAGTAATTTAGTGTACACGGTAAATAATTTCCTTGAATATTTACAGTATCTCCACACTCCACTTTAATGCTGTGTCAGGGCTGGAGAAAGATCTGGCTGAATGGGTTTCAAAACCAACTAAACAATGTGATTAAACAATTAGAAGAAAAGGGTTATGGATTGATTAGTTGTGAGCTATGAATGTTTCTCTTTTATTACAGCCTACACAAACCCATGATAATGTCTAGATACTACAAACAGATGCAAATGCTCATACTTACTGTAAACACACAGTGAAGTGAAGGACTTGCCGCCACCAGTTGGCAATTGGTGTAAGGAATAACGTGACCATTAGATAAGAAAGGCAATATTGGAGGATTATGCAATCACATTGACAACATTTTTAACTTACAATGACAGTGTTGCTAAACAATAACTTAAAGGTAGGGTAGGCA